CGTTGACAGGTGGACGAGGACGGACGTCAGAAGGAGCAGCAGGACGATCACTCAAAGGCAGTACACGTGATGGTTCTACAGGGCTAGTACGGGCATCCGGAAGGGGTCGATCTGAAGCGATAGGTGCATTTGACAAGCGCTCCTCCAAACTCGGTTGGTGGGTGACACGGCTTTCCACTCTTGGAGCCCCAGGCTGACTGAGACGTTCTTGGAGAGAAGGAACTGCTTGTTGAGATATTCTCTCTTCAAGAGGTCGAGGACGATCAACATCCGCTGCACGTGCCACATCTGCAGGAGGAAGGCGAGTAGGTTTGTCATCAGCCATGCGGTGATTGTCATCGGGTGAAAGCGGAGGTCGAACAGTACGATCTTCAGAACTATGAACTGAGCTAGCGACTCTCGTTGGACGATCGTCAAGGGTGACTCGACTAGGACGATCGCGGTCATCAACCACCATGCTACGAGATTCACGGTCATCAACAGGCGGTCGCCTGTCATCGAGAGATGGACGTGGACCGCGATCGTCAGGGCGCAGGGAAGGGCGCCTATCTGCATCCGAATCGTCTTTTGAATCATAGCGGCGAGGAGGGACGCTGTCAAATGGATATCGGGGCTCATAATGGCGTTGTTCTGGGGGAGGTCTAGGAGCATGACTGCGTCCATAGGAACGACCACCATATTGAGGACGGTCTCTGTCACGGTCACGGCTCCATTCACGTTCTCTTTCACGCTCTCTTTCACGTTCTCTGTCTCTTTCTTTATCAAGGAATGTTTGATCCCTTGGGGGAAGTCGAGGGTCATTACCGTTAGGGCGGCTATCGAGGGGACGGCGTTCTGCATCAAATCGGACCCTTCTGTCGTCCAATGGGGGATCACGAAAGGGGTCTCGTCTAACATCGTCTTTACCATCGTAGGTGGACTTTGGTGCTGAAGAGTCGACGGGAGGACGAGTGGTATACTCACCAGGACGGTCACCAAGAGGACGAGGTGTGTCAATTTTTGAACTGTCGCGATGGTCGCCTGAAAGAGGACCATCTCGGGGAGTAGCGTCGGAATTATCTAGACCGGTTGACATCTTTCTTTCGGATTTCAAGGGTGAAGCTTCAACCTTTTTTCCAGGTTTGGGTCCTCCGGGTGGGGGAGTAGGGTCTGGATTCTAAGAACACGTGTTTAAGTGTGAGGGTTAGGGTAAGATCAAAAGTAAGCACATTAACTGCTGCTGTTGATGGTTTCTTGACTACGGGTGGATCCGTAGGCCTCCTTGTGGAATCTGAAGAGTAAGGAGGAATTTGGTCGTCAGAAGAGTTATCGTAACCAGACTGGTTGTAATAATCGGCAGGATGCTGTTCTGGATGTGGCGGAACCTGAGAAGAGGTTGGGCCCAAATAGAGGCCAGCAAGAGCAGCAGGCTGAGGAATTGCACGATAGAATTCGTGCTGACCTTCCTTGATGATAGATTTTAAATTTTCTAGTACTTCAAGATCGTTTTTGCCCGTAGGTAGAATGACTTGGGGAGAAAAGAACTGGTGTTGTTGTTGTTGCTGTTGTTGTTGTTGGGCCTGCTGCGGTTGACTATTGGGTCCGTGCGCATGAAAATTATAGGACATTCCGAAATTCTGAAAATTGTTGTTGGGATTGTTGGTAGCAGATGTAGAAGCAACAGAGAAAGGTGAAGACATGAGAGCAGGTTCTTCACTTGGCAGTGGAACGAGGAAAGAAGTGTTTGGGTCCTCCGTAAACGTGGTGACCGTTCGTTCGCGGTTATTGTTGTTTCGGCCTTTGCGCTTTTTATTTTGCCTGGCTGACATTTTTTTGCGGTCCGAAATTGTTTAAATCGATGGTTTTTACCTTGGTTTTAATCCCTACGGATCGATCAGTTGAATTTAAAAATTAAAGTGAAAAACCATGCTGTACCAACGAGGCCAGGAAGATGGGAGTCAAGAAGATAAAGAAGAGCGTCAACCTCGATTCAGATTTAACCCTCTTTTCACAGCTAAACTTGAATTGTATTCTCATCGACAACTAAATATTATAATCTCTACTTAAATATCTATGTACACGTAACACGCTACCTCCTCATGTATTTAAGAAAACCATCGAACTTTGTAGAATAATGGTGAAATTTCCTAAAAGAGATATGTGTATTCAAACGCGCACTTGAATTTGTATTTAAAAAACTAGTCAAGTCTGCTTCATCATTGATCTCAACTCTCTTCATAAAGTTCATTAGAATCGCACTGTAGCAATGTCTGTCGTCGGTGTCGACTTTGGTACTCTCCATAGCAAGGTTCATCCTATATCATCGCTTAGATCACATCAATGTACTAACTTGTTATCCAAAGATCGGCGTAGCAAGAAATCGAGGTATCGATATCATTGTAAACGAGGTTTCAAACCGTGCAACACCGTCCGTCTCTTCTTTCGCAGATCCTTCCATTCTTAATTCTCTTTCCATCTAGATCTCTCGTGGCATTTGGCCCAAAACAACGTTCTATCGGTGAATCTGCAAAAACACAAGAGACCTCAAATTTCAAGAATACCATAGGTGGCCTCAAGCGTCTTATCGGTAGAACACTACAGGATCCAGATGTTGAAGTAGAGAAGAAATTCCTCAATGCAACACTCGTCGATGGTGGAGGGACAGTCGGCGTAGAGGTTCGCTATCTCTAAAATTTAACTTATCTCATCCTGATCTTCGCAATCTCAGGTAAAATATCGTGGCGAAAAGCAGATCTTTTCTGCCACCCAGCTTGTTGCAATGTATTTCGGCAAGCTGCGTGATATCACCGCAAACGAGCTCAAGACCGCAGTCTCTGATCTCGTTATTGCCGTCCCAGGATGGTACACCGATATTCAGCGACGAGCAATGATCGACGCAGCACACATTGCTGGTCTCAATGCTCTCCGCCTCATTAACGACACAACCGCTGTCGCACTCGGTTACGGCATCACAAAGCTTGATCTCCCCGACCCAGAAAATCCACGACACGTTATGTTCGTCGATGTTGGACATTCCTCCATGTCCGTCTCAGTCATCGCATTTTCCAAAGGTCAATTGGCCGTCAAAGCAGCTGCCTACGATCGCAACCTAGGTGGTCGTGATATTGACTACGCTCTCATCCAGTACTTTGCTGCTGAATTTAACGCCAAATATCGCATCGACGTCCTTTCAAACCCCAAAGCAACCTTCCGTCTCCTCGTCGGCTGCGAGAAACTAAAAAAGGTCCTTTCAGCTAACAACGAGGCCCCCTTGAACGTCGAATCACTCATGAACGACATTGACGCCTCATCCAAGCTTAACCGTGAAACTTACGAAGAGCTCATCTCAGGCGTCCTCGACCGCATCGCCATGCCCCTCCAACAAGCCCTTGCCGAATCAGGACTTACCATTGACGATATTGACACCGTCGAGCTCGTCGGTGGTACAACCCGTATTCCTGCAGTCCGCACCCGCATCCAAGCAGCCCTCGGAGGCAAATTCCTTTCAACTACCCTCAACCAGGAAGAAGCCATCGCTCGTGGTGCTACCTTCGCAGCTGCCTTCCAATCCCCTACATTCCGCGTGCGCGAGTTTCACGTGCACGACATCAACCAGTACCCGATCAAGGTGTGCTGGGAGCGCGCTGCCTCGGACCCAGACGATGACACCGAGCTTGTCGTTTTCCCTCGCGGAAACAGTATCCCATCTACTAAGATCCTTACATTCTACCGCAAGGAGCCGTTTGAGATCGACGCCGAGTATGTAGAGCCTGCTGGTCTCCCGGGAGGAATCAACCCGAAGATTGCTGGGTTCACGGCAAAAGCTGTCCCACCTTCCCCGAATGGCGACCTTACGTGCATCAAGTTGAAGACGCGGTTGAATTTACATGGAATCATGTCTTTTGAGAATGCGTACACGGAAGAGGTGGAGGAGCGTGAGGAGGCGATGGAAGTGGATGGGGAGGCACCAAAGAAGAAGCGACATGTGAAGAAGAATGAGATTCCGTTCTCTACTCGCACTTCGTCGCTTGACCCGGACGGTGTTGAGAAGCTGAAAGAGTTGGAGGCAGAGATGCATGCTGCTGATAAGCTTGTCATGGACACTGAGGTTTGTTTTACGAATTAATGGAATTGGCGCGTACTTATGATTATCGACAGGACCGCAAGAACGCGCTCGAGGAATATGTCTACGACATGCGCGCCAAGCTCGATGAGCGCTACTCATCCTTCGCGCAGGCTGCAGAAAAAGAGAAGCTCAATGGCATGTTCCAAGAAGCTGAGGACTGGCTATACTCCGATGAAGGCGAAGACGCGACAAAATCCGCGTACGTCACCAAACTCGATGCCCTCAAAGCGGTCGGCGATTCCATCGTTGCGCGCTACCGCGAAGCCGATGAGCGACCCAAAGCCATGGCCCAACTCCGCGCAGCCCTCAACGACTACATCTCCCAAGCCACCTCTTCCGACGATAGATTCGCGCACATCGCCGACAGCGAAAAACAAAAAGTCGTCGAGAAATGCGCGACGGTCCAAAAGTGGCTCGATGACCAGAATGCACGACAAGCTGAGAAGCCGAAGAATGCGGATCCTGTGTTGACGAGTGCGGAGATTGCGAAGAAGAGGGAGGAGGTGATTTATTTCGCGATTCCGATTTTGACGAAGCAGAAGCCTAAGCCTGTGAAGGCGGAGGGGACGCCTGGGACGCAGACACCGCAGAGCGGGACGCAGACGCCTGATGCGGGGCCGCAGAAGGGAGAGCAGGAGCCACCGAAGGGCGAGGAGGAGGTTCCTGGGCCGCCGGAGATGGATGTTGATTAGACTTCTAGGTGGTCTCTGGGTCCGAGTATTCGTGTTTCGTAAAATTAACCGTAATGTGGGGTTGGTTTTGATTAGACCATGATGAAGCATATGATGTGTAGAGCATATACAGTACCGCGATATAGTGTACTACTATCGTTCAATGTCTATTTTTTCGCTCTTTGTCAAGTTGTCCATGGGCAAACTGTTCACTGCCTTTTTGGGATGATTACTTTAAGCTTCGACTTGACTGTGACGCGGACCCGTGAGCATGGCCCCTTCCGCCCAGTCGGAGAAGCGATTGCTCTGGCATCCACGATGGGAGAACAAGTTTATGGTCGGAGGAGGCTCTCAAATGACAATGTACGAATGGGCACCAGAAGAATCTGAAATTCGACATGTGACTTCACAAAATGACTTGCAGTTCATGAAGGTGAGTTCCCTACTCGAAAGACTTGACTCAACTCAATGTGATCTGGCCTTTTCATCTATAGTGTTTCGCTTGGTCTCCAGACCCTGCTTTTGACGATCTTTTTGCTGTCGGATCAGCTTCTGGACGCGTTGACCTCATTAGACTCGAAGCTACCAAAGTCGCCCGGAACAACGTCCTCTCAAGCGGTCCCGTCGTCACGCTTCCAGTCCGCAACACCCGGTCATGTAACGCCCTCGCATTCTGTAACACAGACCCCAACTACCTAGCAGTCGGCCTCGACAAAGTCCGAGGAGACTCCAGCCTCATCATCTGGGATATTCAATCCGCCACGCCCCTCCTCTCACCCTCCAGCCCCCCCAATTTGAATCTAACGGAAGACTCGGTACTAGAAGCGCGTCCGCAGCCTCGAATAGCGCGTGCTGAAGTCGGTCATCACAGGACTGACGGACGCGTGTTGCAGCAACATGCACCCACAGAAGTAGTCTCAGCCCTAGCCTTCCTCCCACAATCTACGCATATGCTGTTAGCTGGTATATCAGCGCGGTGGTTGAGGCTATTCGACCTCCGGAGCGCAGTCCCAGCAACTACTAATATCGCAACCAAAGTCTACGGCATAGCAACATCTCCGATCGACCCACACCAGATTGCATGTTGTGGAGATGGGATTATAACTGTCTGGGATGCAAGACGCCTCTTACATCCACTACTTATGTTTACAGAGAAAGACGCAGCTGCTGATGGTGCAAGACCACGGGCTGGGTCTGGGTCTTTTGTCAACCATATCGAGTTTTCTAGCTCGAGGAGGGGCGTGCTTGCAGCGCATGAGAAGGATTCGTCGTATGTGCGGTTTTGGGATCTGCAGCAGGCGCAAGGGAGTGAGAATAATTCCGATGGGGAGAGATCGAGGGAGTCGTCACAGACTCAGACTGCGAAGAGGTCATGGGCGCCTTGGACTGCTGGTGGTGCTGGGAATGGGAATGAGATGAGACATAGTAATGTGGAATCGCAGGAGGCGTTGGCGCTTGTTCTTTCTGATACGCACAAAAGTATGTGTTTTGCTTATTGGTCTTGTGTGCGTGTGTGCTGATGCGTCATTTTTTTGATTGAAGCGACGAGCTTTCGGAAACCACTTGCATCTTTCGCCCTTGTTCCGAGTAAGCGCGCGTTCTCGCTTACTTCGGAGGTTATGGTCGTCAATAAGGATGGGGATCTTGAACTTTATGCTGCATATGATACGCCGAAACAGGCGTCTTGGAGTGCACGTGGGGACCTTATCATCGGTGCTGGGTTGAGATGCAAGGTGTTCCCGGGCTTCGAGGACCGCGGAGTTCCACCGCAGCCATGGGATATACGTATTGAGGAAACTACAACTTCTCGGGGGCGTAACGAAACTGCAAGTCTGCCGGCGTTTGGGAGGGGTGACGAAGATGGGTTCCCGGCTCTGGAAGGCAAATCTGTGGAAGGCAAATCCACACCATCGAAGCCGATAAAAACGAGGACGTATAGTCCAGCTTCGTTCCGACACTACCCGCTCGACCAGTCTGAGCTGTCTGCATCGCCAAGTAGTGTTGATGCTCAAACCCCTGCGAGGGCTGAGGCTGTGCAGGAGCCCAAACCAAATGGTCTTCGACAAAGTGGAGAAAAGAGTTCACCGAAAGGGAAGACTTCACGGAGCGTGCACCAAGCAGTGGAGGATGATATCTCGATGATTATGCGTCGGCGCACCATTCGTGGATATGGGCTGGCAAACGTGAGTTGTATAATTCTAATATCATGTCATGTGGGTTCTGAGCACGGTTTTTCTTTCAGGCTAAGCATAACGCTCAAGTTGTACGGGAAGATCTTTGCTCAAATACAACGCTATCAGAGCTATGGGATTGGATACATCGTGCGTGCCATTAGAGGATCTACAATTCTGGATGTTCATCTTCTCCACAGATTCCCGTGAACTTGTATGCTCGCCGACGTCAAGATTACACGGTTATGAGTTCTCAAACCAAGGACTTCTTGGACTATGGGAAGGATTCGCACCGCTACCTCAAGTCTCTGAGTCGAGCGCATCATCTTTTAGCGTCCTTGACGGCCTTTTGGCGATACCTCAAATTTCTCCGGGAGATTCTAGTCTCTCTCCGATATCTACCCCTGCTGTGCTTGACCCTTTGACGCGAATGAGACATCCTCTTGATGATTTAGCATATGGGGATTTCACAGCTGCCGTTGCTGCACTATGTACTAGACGGACACCGGGTTTGGGACGTCCATGGAGACCCCCTGTCCGCAGCACAGAAAAGCTTGAACAGAGACAGTTTGCGTTGCATCTCTGCGGGTGGAGTATTGGAGAGGAGGAACTAAACCATGAGATTAAAAGGCGAATACGATTTATGTGTTTGTGAATTTGATTACTGAGCTTCTCATGTAGGTGGGAGAAGGAGGGGCAACAGCCAAGAGCGGCATGTTGGCTCGTTTTCATGCGACAGTATCAAAAGGCGCTGGAGCTGTTGATGCGGAGTATAGGTGCGACTGTCTCTCTTCGTCTTTGCTTTGTTCAATAATGACATGATATCCTAGATGAGATGCACAATCTCGTGTCCGGTACTCTTGTAGCACTTATCCCTAGCGCTGGAAGCACCCTATCTAACGAATTGCGCACCCACGCCGAACGTGTCATCGTCCGCCTTGAAGACCCATACTTCCGTGCTATGCTCATCCAACTTACCTCCAAGGACTGGTCCAAGGTTCTCGAGGAAGAATCACTTCCGCTGCGGGAGCGTCTTGCGATTGCATTCCAGTTTCTGGAAGACGAAGCGCTATCGTCCTACCTTACACGCACGATTGACCGAGCCCGTACACGCGGTGACATCGAGGGCCTCGTAATCACAGGGCTCACCCCCTCAGGTATGGACATCTTACAGAGCTATGTAGACCGCACAGGAGATGCCCAGACTGCTGCTATCCTCGCTGGTCAAGTGTGTCCTGCTAAGTTTCTTGACGCGCGAGCAGAGCGGTGGCTAGAGACGTATAGGGACTTGTTGGACGGCTTTAAGCTGTTCCATTACCGAGTTGCGTTTGATGTTGAGCGGGGGCAGATACTGCAAGAGGCAGTGTTGAATGGGGATTTAGCGCCGTTTGATTGGGCCCCGAAGCAGATCTTGATTCGGTGTAATTATTGCTCTAAGCCGATGAATCCTGTGTTGGACGAGACACAGAAGGGACGGGTGGGTGTTCTTGTTTTTGAATATGAGAAGTACTGATACTGGATGACTTGTTAGCCTACTGCATGCCCACACTGCAGTCGTGCTCTCCCGCGGTGTTCGGTCTGTCTGATGACACTGAGCATCGTCCCAGATTGTACGCGTGACGTTGGGCTCTCACAGTCGCAGGCCACTTACCAAGGTGATATCTTCTTTTGTGCATACACATGGGGAGCTGGATTGACTCGATGTCCTAGACACAATCGACGACGCAATTGTCATCTGCCAGACATGTCGACACGGTGGACACGCATCGCATATTCTTGATTGGTTCTTTGGTGAAGACGGTGCACGTTCCCGTGGCATGTGCCCTGTGGCAGATTGCGACTGCCACTGCGCAGATGAGTTTTAGTTTTTCGCTGTTTGCTGGGGCCTGAGCTCGGATCATTTGCATATGACCTTGAAATGGTGATCGGATGGGAACCTCTCGTTCTCTACGAGCGGATATACACATAACAGTGTCCAATAGAATGGCTTAGAAAGTACTGGATGCAAAGTATCCAGGGCATATAATTGTTGATATTATTATTATTTCAAGTAGACATGCTGATATAAGTACAGAACGCTATGCGTTAACTTGCTGATAGAGGAGCGAATAACACGTAACTAAAGATAGCTATCAGCCGTGTGTTGAGTATTGAGCAGACGAACAAGTAATATCATGTAGGGTTCTTGATGTTTTTTTTGCCTGATTGCTAATTCGTTCCGGTCATCGAGCAACATACAAGGGTTGCACAGAAATCATCCGATTGCACAATAGGAAACACACTCAAGGTGCTTCTCAAGACAGGCATGGAAGCCGATTATGATACTCCTCGACACGAGAGCGATGGAACTTGTCCAATCTTGCTAATGAAAGACAAACCCAATGACGTCTGAGCGATCCAACGGGACCTCTTCAGTAGAGCTGCCACCAATCGATGTCTTCTGTGTGATATTGCGAAGCGTACGACACTATCCTCTGAGTAAGGTCCAACATAGATAGGCTGGCAGAAATTAGAATAGTACTTGGAGAAAGCGGAAATGGATCGGACTATTTGAAAGACCGAATACAGATGCGGAGATGCACGTGGCGCTTGGTGTGCACAGCAAGTACTGTGAAGCTGTGGAGCACAAGGATAACGAATACATGCCTTGGCAGGCAACTTATACCAACACTTGCGCAGCCCTCTCGACCCCAAAAGCAAACATCCACTATCCCAGCTACCAGCCAGCCCATCTCGTGCTTGCGCGGAGTGAATCTGTGTCAGATTGTCCCAAGTAGGACTTTGCCGTGAGTGATACTCTTGTTGGGGGTAGGAAAAGCTGATACGAGGACAAGATAAGACCACTGACCGGCTGGTATTGAGGGATATCTCCTGGATACGTCGTCCTCAAGCTGTGCTGTCAGTCAGGATAGAATCCCCCTGGGTAGGACCTCTCGTAAGCAGTCCCTCCAGGAATTTCTATTGACATGCCAAAGTCAGGTGAAAATAGATAGACCAGTGAAACCACCCACTATTTATACCCCACAGGACAACTGATTCTGAAGCAACGATCTGCTCTCGCGCATATAGTCCACGAATCCCTTGATCGAGATCCCAAAACGCCCATCATGTCTTCGACTGCCGCTAATGTGAAAAAGACGTCAGCAGTAACCCCCTGCAAGACGATACGAGGCCATACTAAGGCAGTTAGAGGCGTTGCACACCTGCCCGGTGGGCAGCGCATTATCACATGTTCGAATGACAGCTCACTTCGACTATGGGACATAAAGAGCGGTGCACAGATAGGTAGCGAGTGGCGAGATGAAGGGGATGAGGCAGCAATGATTGCCATGTCGTTGTCTCCAAATGGCAAGACTATTGCCACTGGCAGCGGAAACAATGTCGGGACAGTGAGGTTGTGGGATGTCGAGACGGGGAAGGTTGTCGTCAAATGGACAGGACACACTGCTTCTGTGCAGTCAGTGTGCTGGAGTCCAAATGGTGGGCGAGTTGTGAGCGGATCAAACGACGGGACGGCAAGAGTGTGGGATGTGGAGAGCGGGGAACCAGTTGAGGGTCTGAATCCAATCAAGACAGGACACTGTCAGACATGTGTATGCGGTAAGATACTCACCCGAGGCATCAATGATGGCTACAGGAGGATACGATGAAGGAATCAAAATCTGGGACGCGATGACAGGCGAGCTGCTGTCCACGATCAAACTCGATCGGACAGTTTGGAGCTTAACCTGGACATCGGATGAAAAGAAGCTTATTGCCGGGTGCGGGAATGGCCCGATTAGGATATTCGACACTGCCACATGGCAGCAAATCGCTGTTCTGGAGGGTCACATAGATGTTGTCTTCTCCCTCACTTTATTTCCCAACGACCGCCTCCTTGCGAGTGCATCCTGGGATAAGACAGCGCGTCTCTGGTCTCTTGATACAAACCTCCAAATCGGGCCACCTCTTCAACACAAACATGAGGTCGAGTGTGCGGCCTTTTCCGCTGATGGAAAGCTGCTATCCACTGTAGGTTGGGATGATAAAAATGCGTATGTATGGGACATCCAAAACATCCTCAAAATAGCTGGACTAGAAGATCTCCTGTCTATACCTGATGTGAGTGCTAACTTGACTCCCACTCGCTATCTCATTCCCAATGGCTATCAGGCACAAAAATCTGGACTCAAAAACAAGGTATGTATCATCTTGCGACTTTTCAAGAATGAAACACGCTAATGCCCCACACGCACAAGCTATCAGATGTACGCTGTGTCTTTTTCTGACCTTGATATCGATCCTGATATCAGCATTCCAGGCTAATGCTACGCAACGTCAGCCCATCCGTCCAGCCCCACGTCAAGTGCCACCAGGCTTTTTCGATAACGTGCAAGACGGTGGTCTTGTGCGTTACCACTATTCACCTGCACTACTTTCTCTGATATTCATATTTTCAGTCCTCCAATACCCGCCATCTCCATCCTGATCCCTCTTCCCATCGCCGCCGCAGAGCTTTTCCACCATCCTGGGTATCACGTCCACGTGAGCTTCTCGCTCGCCTTCCCTCACTCTTCCACCATTCCCCACCCAACACCAATGGACTAAGCGAACCTCAGCAACATCCACTGGGACCTGGTACCTCCTCTCGTCGCAGTCCTCCTGTTGTCGACGTTCCTGCACTAGATGACAAGAAGGTATGTCGTTTGGGGGATGTGTTATCAATAGCTGGCGTCTCAAATTTCATATGCAGGCACTGTATGTTTCTCGGCGGCCGGAGCGAGCTAGCGACAAAGCAAAACGCGTCGACAACTCCAAATGGTGGGCTCGTGTTGTGCTGTTCCTCTGCTGTGTGTCTCCGCCCAACGACGACAGTCACTGACGGTGTTAGAACATGGACGATTAGATATCCTACTTTTGTTGTATTTCAGCGTTTTTCTGTTACCATTAATGACAATTATTGACGCCTCGCAGTCTAATTTATCGGCAATTTCCACTGGCAGAATGGCAGCATGCTGTCAACAACACTAGTACTATGAATCAGATCGCGTTGCACGAGAAACTCCGAGCCAACTAAAACATGACACATGTGCGCCTCACTACTAAGCCTCGAAATTATAGTCGGCTAGCTTGTGTTATGGTTAACGTTCATGAATACTCAATAACAAAATATCGACAGTATCGACAAGTCTAATGATCGGCGCCAAGAAATAGATGTATATATGTACACGATACAGGAAGCCAACTGCGAACATTTACGTATGTATGCTTAATATCAATCGTATCACAACACCCATCTCCCTTTAGCTTGCAACCCGGATGCCCACACTTTCTGCCAATCTGAATGGAGACACATATCACAACCACAAAAGGGCACCGGATGATCGGACACCGCAACATGAACGTCGTTCAAGGAAATAAAATCCTCGCCGGACACCGCAGCATCATCATCTTGCAACGAAGAAGAACCCTCTTCAGTGCCTTTGGACCCTCGTATCTCCGCGGGCCCACGCCGGCCCTTCACCATCGAACCAGGGAGCGTCAACACTTCCGCGTGTTGCTCCGCTCTCCTGCGATATTTAACCATGTCGAACGGGAGTTGGACTCGGGGGAAAACCAAAGAGACTCTTTCCAGCCTCTCGAACGAATTCCACGGAACGTACGACATCCACAGAGGCATAGCGTAGTTTTGAGGTCCAATAATGCGTTCAGTTCGCAAAAGGATGTGTACCAACGCATCATTCTCATCTGGAGGGAGGGCGATAAAGTGGGTGATGGATGCCAAGAAGGCTGATCCTGAGGCAAGCTTCGTCATTTCCCATGAGTCACAGCTCATCCTGGATAGCGTCAATGTTTTTGTGTTCCACGGAAGCGGCAAACTTCCATTGTCTATATTTTGGTCCATACGGGTCCATGCGAGCTCTATGCAGGATGTCAGGAGGTTTAGACATGAAAAGTAGATTGCGAGTGATGATGCGCCAAGGAGCACTGGAGCGATGAGCTCAAGGTCCGACACAGGCTCAGAGGTGAAGCTGCTGTCCACAGGAGCGTCTGAGGGACACTCATCCAAACACGGTCCGATCCAGATGTTGCGTACGTGAGGTGTGTACTCGAAGCGGAGAGCAGGATATGTTTGAGCGTATTCGTTTTGCATGCGTAGAGCACGCAAGAAAGCTGTCATGTTCTCAAAATCCAGTACTACGGTGTGCAACATTATAGGCAGTGCAAGGTGCCTAAAAATTCGGGAGACAAGACAAAGTTTACGAGCGGTCGCGTATAGATGCGTCGGCTCATAACCCTCGTCTTGAGTAAAGGTGGGCTTTGCAGCATATTTGATGATGATGGCGACGATCTCGGTGGGAAGGCCGTTAAATGAAGCTCGGGGGGTAATCTTCATGATGGCTGAATGATACAGAAAACTGCCTGAAGCAGCCTTTTAACACCTCGTGAACAATAGCAGAAGAAGTTCCACAGCAGTGGCCCAAGCTGGGTTAAAGTATGTGAACCACTATGACGGTCCATGCCAGATTCATTGTTGCATGTGGTCTGGTTCTATGGAAATAGTGGTTATTACGTGATGAAAATGTAAGACCTTGAGAGCCTACGTATACGAACTCGTGCGCCGCATGGCACAACTCTTATGTCATGGTAGTCGATTGTCGAGTTAGACTACTTCAGGGCAAATTCTATTACTGCTTGATTCGTGGGGCAGGTGGGACGTGAAGTAGAGTATGTAGTTGGCTTCTGTAAGTAGGAGATTGGCATGATCTAGTCCTGGGACTGAAGAGCCATTAAATGTTGCATACCTTCTGCTGATATCCATTTGGTACATGACAGCTGACAACATTGTCAGTGAGATAGAACGCGTGATATGTCGGCACGTGCATCGGTTATGGACAGCAGGTCCTCGAGGCCTGATGCTTTGAGGATGGTGAACATTTCACACATATGCATTTCGTTGCTACAAGTTTTGGTTAGCAGCTTTCCAGAGTCAGAGGAAATTGAAAAGCGACCTCATTTTCGTGTTGATCCAGGGGGGGTGGTCCAACCAGCTGGGAGGTTTGTGTTGAGGTTCCACACAGATGCGCTGTGTGATCCCCATGATGCACTTGTCAGAAGGCGGCTGTTCGAAGAGTCAGTGATTTCACAACAGCGATTTGCTACCACTGCGTGGTATGACAACTTGAAGGAAATAAGCTGACGTCTGTGTCAACTTTGTCAATAGGGATCGGCGTTGCCGATTTTCAACATATAATCCGTCAGATTTCGTCGCATGCTTGTGATTCAAAATGATGTGCTGGAATTGGGTCTTAAGAATTAATTTTGAGTCTGGATGCGGGCGTGAATTAACGTCGCGGTCGTGACGCGCCTGTGACGCGGCATGTGTGACGGGGCAAACAAATTCAACTAGTAGTGAAGTTCAAACAACTTCATATGTCATTCCAAACACTTTGAATCCTCGTTAATGATTAACATATGAGTGTCTGCTTGCGTACAGGCTCTAGAGTGTTGTATTCACTTCTCACCAATTTTACGGCTGGTGCTTGTCTTCTCAGGCTGACTCATGCCCTTCATTCCGCCTCCTCCTTTCTCCAAGGTTCCGAAACCCCAGCCCCTTCCCACCCAAATGAGGAGGGATGGATTGTAGGTCCCGGAGGACGGCTTCTCCTCCGGATCCCACCTATTTTCCACCCAGTGGTTTATGCTCCAGGTAACACGCTGGTGATAGCCAACAATACCGTACAGCTGGACTTGAGTGGTGTCGTACATGGCACATCATGGCACAAGTGTCGCAAACAGTAGTAGATTGCATTGTCTTTGCGGTCGTATGTGTTAATCGGACTTTAGGCATGTATTTTGTTAATCGACTGAAGATCTTTGCACATTTCACAGATTTCCTACAATCCATGTTGACCATTTTGCACTTTGTTTGTTCATCCCACTCTACTTAATTGCATCGGTCCACCAAAACATTTTAGGGCTGCACCAAGATTTTATTCACTACATTTACATACTGTCATCCGGTCGCTACTATACTGATTATGATTTCTTCCCCGTTTGCTTCCTGCAGGATAATTGTGCAAGCCAGAACTCGATGTGAACTTGAACCACCACTCGACGAGGGTCATTTTACCTCATTCAACTTCATCCTCTCTTCGTCAGACTTCATTGTCTGCTTTTCAAAGTGCAAAGTGGCGAGAAGAATGGAGTTCGGGGTGAATCATGGGGCAGGTATCCAACCGCAATAACAAATAAGTTCTACATCCATGATGTAAACTTTGTCAAGCACCAAACTATTCGCTCGTAGGAGCAGTTTGACCAGTGTCTTTGCATCCCAGAATTTTAAATGCATCTTCATCAAACCCGCCCGTCGCAATCTTCGTTCACTAGACTCATCACGTACCCACAGGCTTGTTCCCTGTCTTGACCTGGCACGGTCTTGGCGTTCTTTCAATTATACCAAACTCTTGCTGTCACTCCGTCGCAGGATCTGCTCGCCACTTGTTTGTAGCACCAGGCTGCTTCTCGTTGTATTTTGGTATCGGCATCAAGGACTTGGTTAGTTGCCAGACACGCCGGATAATCTCAGCTCGCTACTTGGTGCAAACACGGGTGCACGTGGGTAGCTACAGTCACAATAGAACAAGAAATAGGTTTGCCTAAACCTTTCAAATATACTTCAAAATACTATATGTTAAATAAATACCACGACGGATCCTTCACCGAATCCCTCCTTCCTGCGGACCGCTCAGCAAGCATTTCCCTACACAGTACTGCTAGTTGTTACACGCTCCTGGAAGACAATCGAAGTCATGTTAGTTTCTGCGTTGGAGTCGGCCACAAGTTTTGCGTGATATTCTCGAATACTAAGGATGAGGCGTGGTCCCAGCACAAACATCTGCACTCTCCATAAAATTTGAAGAGAACCAATGAGTGTTTGAGCTCCAATAGAATTTGAAGTCTACATAAATGATTAGCAGTGTTTACACGCAGATGTCAGCGACAGGTCAGCGCACCTTGAGCTCTGGAAAGAAATCAGCAAGCTGGAGGCATGAGACACAAACAAAGCTAGCACGTGCAGAACTTTAGCAGAAAAAGATAACGACATTCATGATACAAGCTCACCTTGCAAAATAAAGCACATGAGATTTTATCAGCACTCTGAAACAATCCCCGATGGTCGATCCTGTCAATGGGCCGAGTTGTCGCAGTTCACGAAAGTGTTTCACAGCAATCCAGACCGAAAGACACAGTGCGAGGACCTCCCAAATAGTGTTGAGCATCCAAACCATTGCAACCAGAAGCTGGTCGTCCCCTTCAAATCTATCATTGCACATATACGTGTCAGAGAATATCACCACCTCTGATTTTGTCCAATGAGTTGTGTCCTTCATGTCAACAAGTGAAGCTTACCCGCTACAGTATCCTTGAGCACGATTGCTGTGATTACTCCGCAGGGGATGTTAACAGCCAGAAAGATAATAACAAGGAAGATGAGCATCATGCTAGATCGCTGATACATGGCATGCAACCGAGAAATCATGATGACTGCAGCATGTTTCAGTCGAGTCAATATTACTGAGGTATGCAGCTAGGTAACTCACCGTCCAACATGGCAGTTATGACCACATTTGTCACATTCTTTGCATAGCTCATAATATTGCCTGAAACACCCGATTAGTTATCATCCTCATCTAGTATCAAACACTCCGACTCACACCTATGGAGTGATTATGTTGAGCCAAGTTGAATGATCAGAATCTTACTCACCCCTACAAATGAATATCAGATATTCATTGGATAGGAGCAAGATAGTTGTACAACACTCACCGCATCTGTCAGCGAGACAAATGGTATATTTTCTGCCAATGTGTGCCGCAGGTCAGACGAATAGAACGCGGCACATATGAAACATACCCAGCATAAACAAACTGATCGTGAGAGATAGTCGATGAGTTATTTGTATAGTGTCGATTTGTTAGCCTCGACACCTACATAAAATATGGTATTCCCATATAACGTGTCTAAAACATTTTGTAGTTAGTATAACCACGCTATAGCATAACATGAGGCACGAACAACTAAATATAGCACAGTCATGAGAGACCAGTGCTGCTTCTGTCGAGAATTCATTTTTTTCTTCTGATACGGAACTCTGTCACTCACCCAGATCAGTTCGATCTATGACACCATTCTTAGCGAGTTGACTGCCGAGGTGATAGCACCAACCTACCTCTTGTCCGAGTGTTAGCACTGGAAATAACATGAGGGTATCAGCGGTTTTCAAACACTGTCCGGCTCACTCCAATCGTATACTACCACGACGCCGGCGGCAACTGCAAAACCACAAGTCAATGTTAGATCTAGGCATCTTGATGCGACGAACCTATCCAATAGCTGGAAAAAACATTTGACAACCAACTGCCAGTATCATTCAAGACTACGGTCATATTGGAGGGATAGGTTGCGAGCGAGTGGAGGGTGTTGGGGTGTGTAATGATCTAGTGATCGTATTAAATATACCACTATTCGAATATTCAGCCTCGGTCGGCTCTCATACTATCGCCACAATTGGCATAGTGAATGCATGATGGTGATAGATAGCTGGCTGTACCTGTTGTATGCATCAAAAAAACCTTCCCCACCTAGTTAGAGCTAATTTATACACCGGGCATCGTGAAAACGCTGTGTTAGTAATGCTGCAGCAACCGCTACTGCGGACCTAGTAATTAGACTATGTCACCCTCATACTAGGATCAAATACTCCTGCGTAATCATTATTTTGAGCCAAGTTCGATATTGCACTTACCCTAGGCTACAAATGAGTGTATTCATTTGGATGGGAATGCGATGCATAATCTTGCATAATACTCACTGCATCTAGTGTCAGCGAGACAAATTTGGTGCAAATGCTGTGTTCTGCTGGTCAGAAGAATGGAACACAGCCACACTAGCCCTTACCGGTACCGCCAGAATATTCATCCTCGTCTAGACGCTGCAGTACATGGAAGGATATTCTTGGTTTGGCTCTTCATCTCCATTGTTACATGTCCAGTTTCTCGTGCCTTCAATTCTTCCACATATTTGCAGGCAATAAAGCACGTCTATCCATTCTACTGACAGATGAGAATGTGAACTGTTAGTTGTGATACCGTTTTATCGAGGCAGTTCGACAAGGATTCGTTCGAGTCACACGGTGCTTCTGCCATGTCGTATCTCCATGCTCGCTCCAACATGTCAACTACGATGTGCAGTGTTCAGCGCTCAGCCGTGGCTGGCGCCATCGGTACCTTCCTACATTATTTTCCAAGATCTACCGCCCCAGTTCAAATTCACTTTTAGTAACCCATCGTGTCTTGAGAGATAATTGGGTCTGCAATCTAGTATCGTACATCGAATGCCATACAGCTATATTACAAGCAAACAAGAATATCAGGGCTTCTGTATCACTGGCAGTAACATCAAACCAACGAGCCTTCCGCCTAATTCACCACGCTCGTGTGAAGAACCTTCGCCGGACGTGTCAGGATTCGGGTCAGTTTCCGCCATAACGGAAGATTATCCAATCGCTGTGCTTTCATGACCACTTTGATGTGGTAGATGGACAAATGCTCTCCACTGTGAAATTGTCATTAGCGTATGCCCGATAATATATGGCGTTGGTTTTACTTTGAGGCAGCTAGTGCTCGTGCGGACCGCACAATGTTATCAATCATCCTCCCTGAAAGCATCGTCAGACACCGCGTCGGTGGCAGATATGAGGCTTACCATCTAACTGATGCCGTGAGAGTTTCTCGACATCACGAAGAAGTAATGAATGATCCATCTCCTTCTGATCCATGGAGGAGGAGCTGATAAGCGTGCGCTCACTATTCCATATAATTGCAGCGGGATCATTCAAGCCGAAGTGGCCAAGCCAAAGACGACGTCGGGCTGCAGTGTCCAGTTCAGGTAATTCGACGACTTCAATGGCGAACATTCAGAAGCAGAAGCAGGTCAGGCAATCGGGTTACACACCAGCAGAAAATTGCGTCAGGAGTTCTTCGTCGCAGGCACCTGATACCCAGAAGGAGATACAATCGTCCGACTCAAATTGACGGAGAACAGTCCTGATACGATCCTGACGAGAAATCAAGGCTCAAGTAGTGAGAGTCCAACAACCAAAACATACCCTATGGCCTTGATCTTTCGACTCCAGGAAACGCTGGATGACGTGATAAATCACACAGGGCAAGGTGTCAAAGGGAGTACATACATCGGCGTCTTTCACCACAATCACCGCATTCCAGGTGGCTGCAAACTAAACGATAACAAGGTCTTGTCAAAGAATCATCGAAAGTTGTGAGTTGTACGAACCGATACACGCAGAGCAATATCTAGTACCAGATTCATAAGGTCGTATAAGAAGTCATGAGAAGTGATATTAATAGTAAGCAGAGGTCTTTTGAGGAGATTGCAGACAGCATGAACAGTTGTCATTCTGCCCGTTCCTGGTGGTCCCTTAAGAAGTATTGTCTATGAAATCTTGGATGAGAGACAAAAAACGACGACAATTCAAAACACACAACACACCTGTCCTTTTTCGAACTGCGCTGGCTTTAGACCGCCTACAGAACCGCCAGCATTATCCACCAGTGCTCTTATAAGATCCTGCAACAGAAGATAAACAAAGCTAAGAAATCAACATGATCGCGCACACCTTGGTGTCTTCGTCCATGATGAGTTTGCTCCATGCCTCTTGATCATACTTCACTGGCTTCAGATCCCATATATTGAATATTCGCCATTGCTGGATATCACAATTTGCTTGAGCAGTTAGCGAAATACGTATTGTGAATTGCTCACATTCACTTCAAGATCATACCCGCCAATCCAGTACGGAAGGCGTGCAATATGCTCCTGCGCATCGTTTGGAAGTGGTACACGTCTATGACATTCCTCAGCGTCGACCCAGAGAACAAGTAGATTACTCACAGATTTGGGTTATAGCCTTGCAAGGCGCGGTGGAATCCAACTGGGTCAACCATCACCCGCCTAATGCGTGGAGTTGAGTTGCCACTGAAAACCGATCGCATCGGTGTGTCGTCATAATCTGTAAATGAGGAAAGTATGAAAACAGTGTAGTGAGAAGCTGGAGTGATGCGGCACTTACACTCTGCACAACAAACTCTGCTGTAAGAAAGATAGAGCCTTCCGCGCTCTATATTGATGATTCAATATCTCAACGAAAAACTCAAAGATTAAGTTCTCACCAGTCACTTTAGCAAGGGCTCCGTCTGTGACGGGTTGAAGAAACAGGGACGAGAAGGCTCGAGTTCCCTAAAATCGGTAAGTGAACAAATGGTAGTTTGATATTGGAGAATTGTCACAGTACCTGGAATGCAAAAAGATCCAATGACATGGTGCGCTTCTCGAAACGAACGCCATCCCACTCGAGGTGCTCCAACTTGACGAGCAACGCCCTGAACAGGTCTAATTAGAATTTGTCACAGCCATGTTCCGAGAAGTTCATACTCACTGTTTATCATCACGGAAGCGGGCACTCTTCAAGACTACCAAGATCTTTCGTGCAGAATATCAGTAGTGACGATAAATAAGTGAAGGAAATAGTTCCCACAATAGGTCTCTCGACATCTAAACCATTCTGTAAAAGCCCATCATTAAAGATGTAACGCTCTCCTTCCTCGTAGTAATACTCCAGAAGTTCGAAGGAAATCTGATTGTTAGACAATAGTTCTTCGAGTTGCTTGACCCTGCATGATCATAAACGATAGGGGACAAGCATGATGGACTGAAACACACATACGTCTGCTTGCTTTCCGTTTCCACGACCTCCAACAGTTTTTCTAAATGTGTCACAAGAACATCAATGAACTCAGCGGCCCCTTCGCCTGTCCATAATGGTCAGGGTTATTAAGCGCGAGAAGCAATGCAAAACTAACATCCAGTAGACGCGTTGAAGCCGAAGACCTCGGCCTTGGTTACTAGGTCTTCTGGAAGTTGTTCTGTGTCCAAGAAGGTGCAGGCATCGTCCAACCTGGACCGAAGTACCTTCATCTTTTGGGACAGTCGATGAATAGGATACTCAAGAATCTCGTCGTAATCAATGTCGACAAATACAGTACTAAGAATCAGGAATCAATGTTAGCAGCACCCGCGCGATCCATTCCAAGACAACTTACCGAAGAAAAGAATCTAAGATTGGACTAAAGTCGCTAAAAACAAGCGACTTTTTCCCTATAAGCTTGTTCAGTATGCATGCTATGCAATGTATTGTTAATATGACAACTTGCCTCCTTCGTTCATGGAGCGGACATTGAGGTAGAAATAGTCTTCGATTCCTAGAATGCTTATAGGCGAAGGTGACCGAAACCTGTGCCTATCCGGTACCCACAGCTTGCCATACTGATCCCTTGTGCACCGTAACTCATTGAGCAAGCCAAGCACCCAACGTAAGCAAAAACAAACTCACCATTTTTGCCACCGACGAACAAAATGGTCCCCTCCTTCCTCAGAATAGCTATGCGAAATATATTGATGTTGGTGATGTTGGTAAACTGACGAATCTAAGGCGGGAAGCCAACCGTCCCATGGACCCTGCGGAGGCTCTGGGATGAAGGGGGAGTCAGGAGTTGGCGGGTGATGTGAGATAATGTGTTCAACTCCAACTGATGCCGGATACGGGGTGACTGAATACGGATACGGGGTGAGCAGTGGCTCAGGTATGTGTTCGTCGTCTGAATCCGACTGAACTGTTGCTTGCTGCCGAAAAAAACCCTCCGAGTCACAGTTAGGTACCCCTTCTGGGAGTGGCACAGTATCACCATCAAGCATAAAGCTTGAGCTCGATGGTGATCTCAATGACACTGGCACAACTACAGGACACATGCTTGGTGGGTCTAATTAGGGTGGGACTCATGATCAAAGGGAACGCCAGCTCTATATGAAGGTGTCTGCAGCGCCTATTAGACATGATAAGAGGATCTCCAAGTTGTGGCTTCCATAGCATAGGTAAGATGCTGTGTGTTACAAGACTATTACTGTCCATTTATGGACGGTACAGGAGATAAAACTGTCCAAAACTGTCGTACGCACGTTCTGGACTTGGGCACATAGTGGTAGCCAAGAGAAAACTACGCTGAATGTGGCTGTGGGAAAAGACAACAATAAGATCTCTAAGTTCAGGGGTTTAATCTTACTGACAGAGAACGTTCTGTATAGAAGCAGCGGGTGTCTTCCTGACATTCGGACCTGGAGGACGATGGCGGCACAAATACTTCCATAGTCGACTTTGGATTTCACGCAAGGAGCAGTCACTCGCCAAAGCGCAATCGTCGTTCTTTCGATGGGAGTACAAGTGGGCTGGTTAGCCGCTTGGACGTATTGTGAACGGGGACCTTGAAAATGAATCAGCTCCCACGCCAAACACGGAACTTAAAGACCACCTGTTCTTGCGCTGAAAGTGAGAGTCCAATTATATATGTATGTATCGATCAGAACAGTATTCTTGTATACACTGCCAAGTGTCACCGCAATACGGTGTCTTCACGCACTGCTCAAGGTTTGCGGAATTTGATAGGCAAAACTGTATTTTGTCAAGTAAGCGGACAGTCGGTGTTATTGTCGAAACCGGATACCAAGCCTGGTGAAGACAATTCAGAAGAAAAATAGGAGATGAAGATACACGAATCAACCTCAACCAAAATAATAAGAACATGAATAAGAACCGCCAGTATGCTGCCTAGATGAGGGACAGCTGATCCCTCATCCGTGATGGTCATCAGTATAGTTAACGGAAGCGCAGCAAATGTAAAGCATGAGGCGGATCCACCAATGAGGGTTGTCGATGACAATCGCACGATGAGAAGGCTTGTCAGTTGCAGGCATGGAAGTGGCGGTGGTTGTGGGTATCGTGGACATTGCAGGCATGGCAGTGGCCACAGGACGCAACGACGATGCTTGAGAGTGATTTTGATCTTGTTGCTGACTTTTGGCCTGAGTATTGTGTTTTGCCCTTTTTGCTACGTGGTCGGGCGACATATAAGGACTACGAGATAGATTAAAACGTAAAAGAGTGGTAACGGAGGTGATCATACCCCTTTATCACGGACAGCCGCGACTTCTACGACATGGGGTCGACGTTATGAGACGAACCCTTGTGTCCGGCGTTGTCGGAGTTGTGTCGTCTCATGTTTGTTGGATCGAAAGCGATGGAAGAGCGAAGAAAGACCAACAAGAAGTGGACGTGGGCGTGAGGGGGCAAGAGCACGGCGGGAGCGGCTCGCAGAAGGATACTGTGACGATAAAGCTCTGAGGCAGAAGCGACTGATAAAAAATGAGGACATACATGAGAGTATGCTCGCGTGTCGTCAAGAAATCCTTCTGGAAATTGGGCGTCTTCAAACTGGGTTTCAAGTCGCATAGCATCGATCTGACGTTACAATCAGTAAAAATGTCGACAGACATGTCACGTACGTCCAGTAAGTGCTTGTGTAAAAAGGAAGTTAGTATACTCTTTTCCTGAGGAACCATGAGACGCGTATAATATGGTTAGTCAAGTAGAGTAAGTGTTATGTTTACACTCACATTCGGAAAGGACAGGAGGTCGAGCCCAGTTGCGTTTAGGATTGCAGGTGTACACATTTGTGTCCCCACAGCAAGTCACTAGTAGCTTTCCATCGGCGGAAATTGACACGTAATCCACCTCACATTCGTGCTGTATGGGTGGATCGACAGGGAGATTCGTGTCGAGATCCCACAATCCATCGTTTGACCCACTCACAAGGAGGCGGTTGTTCGAAAACAAAGTGATGTAAACAACGTCGCTCCAGTTCCTGCCAAGTGGCAGTGTCGAAAACCCTAAGACGATCTCCTGCCACATGTCACGGTGGCGGTGTCGAATACATCATTGGATTGAGACCCAGCACGGGTTTTCCGCTCTGGCCATACCACACTCGTACTGTCCCATCGTTGGATCCGCTCGCCACTCGCTCACCATCTGGACTCCAGCATATCGACCGTACTTTGTCGGTGTGACCTGTCCATTCGACGATGACCTTCCCCGTTCCAATGTCCCACAATCTCACTAACCCATCTTTGTACCCACTTGCAAGAGTAATGCCGTTTGGGGACAATGCTAACGTGACCGTGGAGAACCATTACCTGGCAGGGTAATACTTCAGCATGCTGCGTTCTCGGCGATTTAGTATAATGACGCTGAATGTGCGGCCCAGAGATGGAAGTTGATCCGGGACTGTTCATTATGCTCTCAACTGATTCAGATCATTGACTGTGTATGCGATGCGAGAGCAGCCTTTGAATGTGGACCATATTTCTTGCCAGGACAATGATCGTTGGTGAATTGACTAGCCTATATTCTTTTTTATCAATAGAAGAAGTACATGAGTCTGGTTTTTCCTATGTATGTAGAAAAAGCTGGAACATCCTCTCACGTTCAAAATTACTTACATAATTGCAGATGAAGTTCCGCTCTTGTGAATGATATACGGACAAGGAGCTTGTTCAAATCATTTTCGTATCCCCATGCGTTAACATAATCGTTTCATTGGGTAATTTGTTGATGAAGCGCTCAGGCCTCAGGAGGTCCCACAACTGGCGCCATCCGCATGTTCTTGTACTTTGTTTGATACCTTGACTGATGGTCGTGACGAATATGCAACAGATCACTGCATGTTCCAACCGTTTGTCTATTTATGACACACGTATCTCCAGGGCAATGTGATGGTCTGAAGCAGCCAATATGCGTATTGTTGTGAGAGGCGTGCCAAGGTGTGTTCTAAAACTTTGAATTGGCCACATGATTCTGTCTCAGCTCTGAAATTCATCCTTACCCCGAGTCGAGCGCCTCACATTCGTGACATTGAGAATGATCATCTCGTAGCGCACCTCTCTCGTCACACAGGCCGTTGCTGATCTGGGCGCCGCTCTCCCTGTCCCACGGTCGGAGCGAAGCGCCAGTTGTACACCGGCCGGTTGCACATCACTACCTCCTGCATGTTGCGGCCTTTTGCACCCCTATGACTTCACTGTGCAGATAAGCACACTGGCGCTATGTTTATTCGTGACAAACACCAGTATCAGGTTTATCCTTATTTTCAGGCTGCTTTGAACTTTCTTCACACTTCCACCCTCGGTAATCCGATGGTTTCATCTCTCCGGCATTCTAGTGCAGTCAGCACATTGGTCCATGTGACGTATATTGTTGACAGGGTAGAGGAACGTTTCCAATTGATGACAGGTTAGGAATCAATTAAAAGCTCTGCGTTTTCACCTGCACTGCTGAAAACGCAGAGCTTGTGACTGATCCGGAATGCATGTCCCCGTCCGACAAGGGCGTGATATCCGGGGCTCCGTTAGCCTCAGAAGCTACTTGTACCGCAGGTTACTGCTGAAAACGCAGAGCTTGTAACTGATCCGGAATGCATGTCCGGCAAGGGCGTGATATCCGGGGTTCCGTTAGCTTCAGAAGCTACTTGTACCGCAGCTTACTGCTGCAAGCGCAGGGCTTGTAACTGATCCGGGATGCATGTCCCCGTCCGGCAAGGGCATAATATCTGGGGTTCCATTAGCCTCAGAAGCTACTTGTACCGCAGCTTACTGCTGGGAGCCCACGGACTTCTGTGAACACCCACTACTCGGTGGTCTGTCCACAGCCCCAGGTCGTCGGTAATCTATTCCTAACTTCTACGCCGAGTTAGATGATATGAGAAACAATATGCACAGGGTGCGGCTGACCACTGCTCGGCCAGAAATGTCAGCCTCGTTGATGCCAATGCCTGTCAGCCTCTCGGCTTGGAACATAAAATTCGGACAGCCTAGACATTTCTACCCACCCCAATCTTGTCTTCAACGGTCACCTACGAGCTCCACTATTATAATCTTTCACCCTCGTTTTCATCAAACCATGCGTGTATTCATTCTTGCCACTGCCCTCGCCACGGCCACCATCCACACCGTCCATGCCATGCCTAACTCCAACCTCGCGGTACGCAGTGCCTTCCCAGATGCCGCAGGCATCCCCTACGTATCACATCCTTCCCACCAACACAACAGACTATACCAAGGAAAGAAGGTTGGCGAGGGTGAACAACGGATGGTTCTTAATCATGCTGCGCCAGGGTCCGATCATCTAGCCGAGTCGCATGAAAAACAAAAGTCGTCGATCGTTAGAAGGGAGAAGAAGAGCGGGCGAGGAGTGTTCATGGAGCGGACGATCAAGAACGCAGACTACGGTTCCGGAAGTGCCCCTGCAGGGGAAGCTGTGGCACACTCTCAACCTGACCCTGCTCCCAGCCCGACCAACACGCCCGCAGCCGCTCCCGGTCCTGCAAGAATTTCTGATGACGCAGGACCTCCTCAAGCTGCCTACGCCTGACACGTTTCGAAGAATGTTTCAGTGGAGCGGTCAGAAGCTTCAAGCGCAGAAGGGGAACTCGGAGGATCTGGTGAAATGTGTCATTGGGCTGTATCATCGAATATCACTGCATTGTCTAGCCGGATAATATATTGAATGACCAAATCTATTGTGTCTGCCACTTGCCATCCGCCACGAGTATGACTACTGCCACGAGTGCTAGTGAATGAAGTTCAATGAACGCAGCTTGAAACCGATGCCATGCACAGCCACATCGTATTATTCAGCAAGGTTTGGGTGTTCATATGAGACTTGAGTTCATCAGCCTCTGCCGCAGCGGTTGCTTCACACCATTATCTCTTGCCACAATGAGTTCAAGCCAGTACCCAGTTCCACCACCATCGTACTTACCGTCGGGCTCGTCTAACAAGCCTACCTCTGTTCCTGACGACAATGTGCATTCGCCATTGCTCGGTCGCTCCAGGTCCCCGGGGGGTGGGATCTATGATCAGCCCCGACAAGGCGACCTTCCTGACGACTTCAAGGTATCTCTTCCGAGAAACTATGTGTTGTGTGGCTCCTCTGACACTCCTTTTGCCAGTACGGCGTTACCGTCTCCGAAAGCTCTCCGGACGTTCGAAGCGCATTTGTTCGCAAGGTTTACACTATTCTGTGTACGTGCACGTGCCTCTTCCGCTGTATATTTTGCTCATCAAGCTACCTACTGCAGTCTGTCAGATTGTACGGGGTGCTTTGCATTGGTTTCCGAGCATATACTCACGTTCATCTCCAGCTCGCCACTTGTGTTGTCGCCGGCGGAATCTCCCAGTCATTTGAGGCTATAACTTGGGTCACAACACAGTGTGTCCTCATGCTTTAAAATGACACTGCTGGGTTACTTATTATGGTTCTCAGCACCTGGTCTTTCTATGTCCCCCTTTTTGGTACCCTAATCAACCTTGGATTGCTGTACTGGAAGCGTCATAGCCATCCCCTTAACCTGGTACTGCTGTCCACCTTCACGGTAATGGAAGCATTCACACTTGGCGTCGTAACTGCGTTTTTTGATAACATCATTGTTCTGCAAGCACTGTATGCTCCGATCGATCTCTTTGTTCTACTCAAGGCTGAGTAATTTGTCAGACTGATCACGCTCGGTGTATTCTTTGGTTTGACTCTGTTCACTTTCCAGTCGAAGGTATGCTCAAATTGATCTAATGCTACTCGATTCTGATGATCTATTCAGTATGACTTCTCGGGTCTCGGCCCCTGGCTCTTTGGCGGCATGGTTGCCTTGCGTATGCGTCACACTTCATATCTAGACTTGAAATTAACATTTTTCCGCAGTCGTGACCGGTATGGTCGGTATCTTTATCCCCTTCGGCACCACGATGGACATCATATTTGCAATTGGCGGATGCCTTATCTTCAGCGGCTACATCGTGTACGACACGTATAACATTAACAAGCGCCTCTCACCCGATGAGTTCATCATGGGCTCCATCAGTTTATACCTTGAGTAAGTGCTTTGACGCAGACACCTTTCTTAGCTGATGAAACGCTCGCTTTCTAGCTTTATCAACCTTTGTACGTCATCTTGGCGGGCCTGCATGAGATCTGTGTTTACTGATAATCGTTTTCACAGTCCTCTACATCCTCCGTCTCCTGAATGACCTTCAGGACCGGTAGGACTGCCATACCTCCAAAGACGGGGGTGGTCTAATTTAAGTCCTAGCTAGTGGGTTATGAGGTTATGGGTCAATATCTCTTATCGGATTGACGTTTCTATGTAGTATCCGTATGTGACTGAACGACAGAATGTAATATGAATTCGGCTCGTGCGCGTTCAGGCCGACAACAGGGTATCTGAGTGTTGTGTGTTTGCAACCCTCCTCTTACTAACATTTCGTGGCAATGACGACACAAGTGGAAATTTGAAAGGTTTCCATAGCCCGGATCCTATAAACAAAGTCCCAACAAATTGTGGCAGAGCTGCAACAACTGCGCACGTCAAAGAGCCCTAGGTAACGGTAGAAATTTACAAAAGGGTCGATGCCTGTCGAAGTGCTGGTAATTTTGAACCAGCAACACGAAACCGTTGTCAATGTAAGGAATCACATCAAATCGTACGAGGACTACAAGAAAGGGCCGAACTTCGTCGGCAGGGACAGTTCATCGTGTGGTTATGTCTATTGTTTTTTGCACTTCCCACGGCCGAATGACAACTAGCTAGAATTATAAGCGTGAATGACATCGTAAAAATACGGTAATACATGATTTCACCCCAGACCCACATCAGGGAAACGTAATTCATTACACATGATTACAGAGTGCTACGAAGCGCTCCGTAGCACTCTGTAGCACGATCTAACCCGCTGATGGCATGGTCTAGGTCATACGCACAGCTCTTAGGATTGTGCTTTCATCAACTGTGATACCTTTTCCTTCGCGTGGCGAGGAATAAATGTACATGGGAATACAGGGTGTCTGCATTGGCTGGCTCAGATAAATTGCGAGGGACCTCGAGGATGACTCACGTCGTTACGCCTGCACTCCATTTCACTCCTTCAGCATCAGGCCCGATATTCCATCCTGGTACACGTTCCACCCGGAAAACAGCTAGAATATTCACAATTGCAGCGAATAAGGAAGCATCCGCAACGTATCGTCCAACACTGCCGAAAGGTCAGGTAAAACCGTCTATCCGCAAAACTTCAAATTTCGTACCAAACACGCCTTCCAAATCCAAAAGCAAAAGAAATGTCATCACGGCCATTCGCTTCAGAGGCTACTTTTGACATGTGACGCTCGGGTATGAACCTCGTCGGGTTAGGATATTTCTCTGCATTGCGCGCCATAGACCTGCATAAGAGGAAATAATTATGGTTTGATCTTTTTTCACTTGATATTCATGATGAATCACCATGTGTTAGCCATTACGGTGGCCCCTTGACAAATAATTTTAGAACGGGGATAGGGCTTTCAGTCCGTAGACTGACCTTTTGGAATATAGTAGCCTTCGTAGACGTCGTCATTTGATGTGGCATGGGCAATTCCTAAATCCAGACGGTCAATGGCCATGTTAACCATAGTTTGACGAGACAACGGTACTGACCCAGAGGGACAACAGGGAACCACCTCAGCGTCTCCTGTATAACGGCATTGATGTAGGGCATAGAAGCACGGTCATCCCAGTCCGGTAATCTTTCGAGGGTTTCCCCAATGACGGAATCAACCTCTGCTTGCGCACGTGCTTGTACGTCAGGATATAGAACCATCGCGAGCAGGAAGACGTATAGAGTGGACGTTGTCTGTGCCTTTTAGTCAGTAGATAGCTAAAATAGAAATCACGTCTAAGCATACAGTTTCTGAGGCGGCTAGAAGCACGAAGATAAAGATACGTCAAAAAACATACGTGATCAAGGCAAGTTTGTCACAAACCAGCGTAACCAGATGCACTAGCTTCCTTGATCGCTTTCTCGAGCATAGCGCCCTCTTCTTCATCTTTTGCTTTATCTGGTATACGATTCAATGCATCCGACACCATGGACGGTGCAGCCGTCCCCGCGGCCTGAAAATCATCAGCTTCGTCTGAGTAATACTCGGATCAAAAAGCACTAGGCACTTGCCATGTTCTTCTTCACATGTTCAAAGGGCGTTTGTACAATCAGGGGAACGAGGGATCTCTGAAGTATAGCACCCCTTACAAAGCTCGCTCCAGGGAACCAAGAAGGAAGTTTTTCCACTGTGAATGCATTAGAATAGAACTACAGCTGAGCGAAGTCGAGGCCGCAGAACAATACGCACATATCGGGAACTCTCCTACAACAGCTGCGACCTCAGGCCTGAGTTCTCTTACAGATATCTCAAGTGAACGCTCGACAAGTGCAATAAAAGGATCATCGAGGGCTGCCGTAGAATAATCATACGTGATTGACATGATGACAGATGTGCTGAAGCTATGTAGAAAGTACGGTTTAGCGCCATGATACGTGGAAGGAGATATTACTAACGTGTGGAAATGGGTTCCATAGACCTCCGGATATTCCAGTAAGTTTGATATCAGATTGTGTGCGTTGCGCATTTGGATCGGACGGAAGGATGGCGCTGCTTCTAAACGGAATGCCTGATGGAATATTCGCCTGTCTGTAAACACACGATAAGCGCGATAAAATATCTGGAAGGGATATACTAACGAAGTCTCCATCTGTCCGAGTAAGGTAGAAAAATAGAGGAGAACTCGACACCAAAACTAAGACTGGATGAACAATAAGCACATAAACAGATAGAAAGGACTCACAAGTCAAGAACGTGCATGAGTCCTGGGGGTCTCGTGGAATAATTATGTGAACGACGGTCGAGCAAGTCATGCGCAACACGTTCAGAGTTGATGATTATGATATCCTGACTGAAGAGTCGAGTGTAAACGAGTTCTCCTGTGGCGCAATTCAGCACATCCACATGCACAGGTCGGTGGTTCTACGCACCATACTCAGCTCCCCATCTTGAGTACGCCAGCCATGGATGATCTGGGTCAACTCCAATCACATTTCCAACAAAAGGGAGAGGTGGAGGACCAGGGGGTAGAGGAAGCCCTTTAGTGTCTCTCTTCTTCTGCAAGGATCGCACTACCACGAAAGATACGAGGGATAGGAGGGCGAGTGCAAGTGTTGGGGCCATGATTTGGACCTAGTCAGTAACTGTGGTTGCAATAAATACACTTGAACAAGCATATTTATATTTATTTGAATTTGAATGTCAAGTGTCATAACCGAAATGAACAGGTGTCTGAGTCGTAGTACTAGTAGGTGCTACGTTACTCTTCCGAAGTACATCGGCTCCTACTAAATGGACACTCAAGGTACGTGAGTTACCTCACTTACAGCAGACTCTGCATTTCTCGTTACATACTACCAAGCGTCGCTAAATCAGTCCTAAACGGGTCTCAGACTGTAGGCTCAGCGGCAAGTACTCCTAATTAACCCCTTGTATACCCAGTGTTTACACCTCTCACTCAATACTTTTTTTGAAAAAAAAAAGACAAGGTTTAAGATAGGTAAATGAATGTAATCAATGGTAATAGGCTAGCTCTCTTTGTTAGCTTCAAGACTTCAATAGGATTAGCTCCGGCATATCATTAATGGATCCGAGTATCACGCGTCATGATGGCCCGACATATGCCCGATGTTAATCATGATGCGGGTTTTGTGTGTTAGTTTCAGATTCTATTTACGTGTTATAATTAAGCGTAGAAGTCGAGAGCAGGCCATGCACGTGACAGGAGTCAGGGAGGAGGACACGCACACACCAGGACATTGTAGATACGAACATAGCACCACTACGACAGTCATCCTCCTCTCTAGACAGCAAGACTGTCGGGTATACCAGCGGCTAGAGTAGAGAAAGGTGACGTTCGGCTTTCAATCTCGAAGTGGCATGTGCTAGGGTGGAATGGCTGCCCTGGGACCTAACCCGATGTCTGAATCACATGAATACTAGCTAGAATTCAGAATCAAGGACCATTCATTCCAAACTCTAACCTGGACAATCCACCTCCTCACTTCTAGATTAATCCAAGATGGCTTTCAAACGTGGATTTCGTAATCCGGGACATTCTCTGAGTCTGGCATAGCCCGAACCGACGGAAATCGGTCATGGCTAGCTGTTAGCGGCAAGATAAGACACTCGAAATAATATGTCAAACTGACCATTTACCAGGAGAATAATGTACCAAGGGTCCGAGGGTCCGACGAAAAGTCCGAGAGTACCAGACAGCATCCATTTTACACGTGGCTCTGCTGCGTCGCCTCGAGGAACTACTTCGAGTGTCTTATCTTGCTGCTATGGCTGATTTCCGTGGGTTTGGGCTATGTCAGACTCAGAGGGTGTTCCAGATGACGAAATCTACGTTTGAAAGCTATTTTGAATCTAGAAGTGAGGGGGTAGACCGGTCTTCGTCATCCAGAATAGAACTTGGAACGAGTACTTTGATCTTTGACAGAACATCGGCTTGTCGACACAGGAAGTATGTGTGTTTCTGAATCCTATGGAAAGTCATCTACGGTCTGCTTTTGATGAGGGAGGTGGTTCTGCTTTGCTTCCGATTAAAGGAAATATACATGACACATGCTTCTAGGAATTCGCAATCCCCATGGTGTACCATTAATCACTTCCCTCCTTCTAGCGCTCAACGTTCGGACATGACCCCAGTGGTGCAGTAGTGCATCCAGGTGAGAGCAATGGAGGATTAACTCGGATCAAGATATTCAACAACATATAGCGGAAGCTTACCACGCCTTGCTAAAAGCAGCGCCTCGCCCGTCACCACCATCTGTCAATCTGTCAACGTAGTCAATAAGGAGTGATCAATTCTCCATGTGTCCATCAGCATATCATACTGAATTCCAGTAGGCTCAGCCCACATGCCAAGCAGACATCAGGTAAATGTAACCTTGTCGTCCGGAGCCTACTTCTGAGCTTAACATATGCATCAACAGAAGAGAGAAACACAGTAATGGAAAGTACGCACTCCCACTTGACAGCTATCCAGTAGTTCGACCCGGTGGTGTAACTATGTATGCGCTATAAATAAGCAATTTGAATCAAAAGAGCAGCGCGATTGATTAGTACTACATACCCATGAAATCTAAATGCAGCCCTGATAGCTTCAGGTTTCAAAGTGCCTTTCCCTCAAACAGGTGCCCCTCATCAACAACGCACTGGCATGCAGCTCGACTGGTCATCAAGGCCGAAGAGCCCATCGAAGAGGTTGGGACCGTGACTTGGGCGGCGGCCCTCACTTGTGCCAGAGACCTCACGGCCGCTGAGAAATTCACGACTGGTTAGCTTAAAGGCAGCTGGGACAGGTGAGCGACGTGATAAGCTCTTACGAGGTTGCATGATGGTCTGGTCAAAGGGACTACTCACCTCGAGGGTCAAGTTGTAAAGATGTTGTCTTTCCATAATCCAGAGGGTAGATATCGTTGGGTCATAAGCGTTAACGCGGCGGAGAGAAATAAAGTTTTGAATCAAGGCCCGTTTTACATCCGTTTAGTGGTCTCGCAACTCTTCCCCCGAATTTCGTCTCCGTCGAGTTTGATCTCCTACGAATATTGTATTCGGGTTAAGCTTGTCTAGATCTGGCCATGTATGTCCACGCTCACCACAACTCGGATCTTTGATTTATGCAGTGAATTGCGGGTGGTGCCGGTGCTGGTGATCGCTCAGTGGCTTTCTCAGAACCCGGGTGTTACCGACGGAACCCAGCAACTTGCAAAGCTCGGACTAGTCACTAGCTCGTTGACATTGAAATATCGAGGGTCACTGGCACCGGTCACAGAGAGAGTTCAGAATACAAATCGGTACGTTAACGTTCTGTATTATTGACTCCTTTTAATGAGCCCGAGCGCGGGTGCAACTTGAGCGCTGAGCGCTTGAACTCAGGTTTCCATTACTACTACTTAATTAATTACCAGGCTGGTATATAACTTCCACCTAACATGGTCCCCTCCAGAGCTCAAGCTGCCTGACAAACAAGCCATTCCTCAGGCCTCAAGCCTAAACATCGATCTCGCCGTGCCTCGGCTGTTCTATTTCGAGGCAACTGACATTTACTAGACTTCTAACATGGTTTAAATATGTGAGTGCGACGCGAAATATCGTACCTTATAATGATTACTTGAACCTGCAGGATCGTTCATATTGTCATATATCCGAGTCACGGTCATCCTCATATGTCCCTGCATTTCATATTGTGCCTATGCCACGATTCATTAAGCTGGTGGCGAATAACAACACCCAAAGCAACCGTTTAAAGTGACAAGATGCCAGGAAGCTCGTTGACACCCGGTTCAACTACAGCAGGCTATTTTTTCAGTGTAAACCTTCTTCCATCCCTATGGGCAAGTTGAGCTTCTGGAGGTTCTTTGGCGAGCAGGGACGAGATCTTCCCCTTCCAAGAGAGTCTGTGGACGGGAAGACGGTCGTCATAGCTGGAGCGAATGTTGGATTAGGATTCGAGGCATCGGTTCATGTCGCGAACAAGAAGCCCAGCTTGCTCATTGCAACATGTAGAGACATAGCGAAGTGCAACCAAACTTTGGAAAGTAGGTGCAATGTTCTTTCAAGTACACCACCAAATAGTTATGCGTGTGCTCTTAGTTCTCCGCGAACGTTGCCCCGGGACTCGACCAGCCAGTTTCGATTCATGGCCGCTAGAACTGTCTTCTTTTGACAATGTCCGCTCCTTTGTTGACAGGTTCGATGCAGAAGGGCCAGAACGCCTGAATATTCTCGTTGCTAACGCTGGCACATTCAAACCAATTTATACTCGAACCCAAGATGATTGGGAAATAATGTCTGTGCGGTCTCGTGCCACGTGTAATTCCCATTTGCTCACATGAGCGAAGGCTACAAGTCAACTATATCTCATTCGCCCTTTTGACCATTCTCCTTCTACCTCATCTGCTCCATTCAGCAACTTGTGATGATCCATCCCGACTGGTCTTGGTGTCAAGTTTTGGACATTATCTTGCGGCACCCGTGTTGACAGGTTCCCGAAATTGGGATCACGTATTAGGGGCTATCAGTGCGGAGAAATTGGGAGTGTCTGGGTTGGTATTTTTCATTTTATCCACAACCCTTACTGAGTTGATACAGGCCTTCCAGGTACAACCTGTCGAAGAGTATGCCGTCATCTTGTACAACGACTCCAGTGTTACTAAATACAGATTTACAGTGCTCCAGGTCGCGTTCGTGCGCGAACTTGCTGCCCGGCTTCCTTCTCCAACTCCACTGGTCGTCACTGCTGTTGATCCAGGATTTTGCCACTCGTCCTTACAGCGGGAACTTGAAAAGTACTGTCTCTTACGTATGGTTCTTGCATTCGTGAAGTGGCTTCTTCGAGCAAGAACCTCAGAAATGGGCAGTCGTAATATTTTCTATGCAGCTCTAGCAACAGACGCACAGGATCTCCATGGCAAGTATATGTCAAGCTGTGAGGTCGTGGAGGAATGTGACTATCTATTGAGTGCTGAGGGCAAAGCGTTCTCAGAGAGACTTTGGGTGAGTTTCTTAGCTTCAGATTAATCCATGCAAACCCTTGAATTATATTCGCAGTGGGAGACGATCGAAGTTTTATCGAAAGTAGATGATCGCGTGTCTCAGATCGTAAACACTTACCTGCCAGCCAGTAGCACCTAGGTCCTGTCACAAGCAAACCAATGGCAGCCCTTTTGTCTTATCTGTCGAGTGGCTTGACGGTGCCTTGGAGTCTAGCATTGTGTTTCATATGGAGCCATGCTGCTGATCATCATCTCACGTGCTGATTAGTAGAAACTGCAAGACTGCATTCGTAACACATAAATTATCCGCAGCCTGTTGTGGATTCTGTCACCCAGGATAGAATCGTGACCGCACTCAAATCAAACCGCTGACACCCCTGAGCTAAGTACAACTCTGGTATTACTGCATTGTGATAATACTAATGACGCAAACGGATTTCAAATTGGATCGTCGCATCAGAACTGCACATATACTTCGTTCTATTGTAATTCGCGTTACTGAATGACCCGCTCAGCCGTTTCCACATCTATTTGTGGTTCGATTGCAAGAGCCAGCCATGCGTGAGTTTACTTACCCCCTAGTCGTTGGATCTGACTGCTTCATTTACTCAGTTGGCAGTTCAGGTCGGCTTCCATTCTTCATACCTGATTGCTTGCTCGATTACACCGGTAAGACCTCGTCCGGAGTCTGGAAGCTGCACATTTTCATTGTTACCTTTCACGATCTTTCAAACCCATTTTATTATGCCTTTTATATGTAATCGATAATCAAAGGATGAGTGTGACTCTCGGCATGGCTTTCTCTCCTTTCAGCACGACGTGCCTTAGCCGACATGAAACCTGTTACAAGTGGGTTTCAAGCTCTTGTGCCAGATTCAAGGCTAATAAAAGCGATACGTGCCTTGTAGATAGCGATCTGGACCAATCGTATTAGCTTGGTCAAGATCCAGAACATTCCAAGAGTTCGTGGTAAAAGTGAGCCTGGCAATCATTATCGTAACATGTTACCGTATTGCATAACATACATAGGCTGCCGCCAATAGTCGAGAACGAGGCACGAAACAGTGAAACATGTCGGTCCAGCCGCCCAATCACAATAGCCGAGTTGCACAGTCAGTGCGTAAGCATCACATTAGCGCAGGCATCGATGACAGTGTCGTGGCGCTCAAGTACACGCAACGGAGCGTACAACCAATCCGGGAGGTTGGAGCTCATGGCTAGCTGACTAACAAAGGGGTGGGTATCGTTATCGCTATCTTCTCAGATCCAATGACCGGCATGATCTATACAGATCTCGCTTGAGTTTGAGGACCATGTGTGTGGGGAGCAGTGGGGAGCTCCAGATTAGCTCCCGGTCAGGGACCAATCACCAGAGTGCTATGTATAACGATTCAGTTCCTTCTCTGTCATCGGAAACAACTTGGAGACTACTCTCACCTTCCAGCGAACACCACAACCTTTGTGGAGCTAACGCGCTCCAACGTACCCATGATTCCCAACATTTCACGTCGTGATCCTCACTCACTCCTCAAAAGTCAAAAGAACACCAGACTGCGGGCGCCGCCGGTGTGATCAGATGTGTATGACTCATCAACAACTTGAAATGCCTCGGATCGAAACGGGGAATCATGGTATGTAATGCGCATGGAGTCGCGACATTGGACGTTCCTCGGAAACCTTACATAATAGTATGTCTGGTGCCTTGGTACTTAGAGGTTGGTAGGGAGTTCCGCAGCCAGACCCACGGTCCTCCAGGTGCGTACGTAGCTTGTTGCCGACGCTGCACAGCTCTGTCTCAACCGACTAACGTGTGCATGATGTACTAAACGATCTCTCCGTCGCATAGGGTAAGCATCCCACTAATATAATCACACATCTCCGGGCTATGTATAACAATATTTACCACACATGTGGTGTGTGATGCGTATCATGTACCTAATAAACAAGGCTCTGTATATGCACAGCAAAAAGTTAATAATAATATGGTTCTATTTCTTCTATATATTACGAAGGATATTGACCTAAGCTCGAAGTTCATCAGGTGTGCAGTGCTGGTAGGTTTAACGGATGACTTGTCTTGCTGTGCCGACATCATCTAGCCTAACGCGTTATATAGCATACGTTCCCTCCGACACAGCGATGAGCTGGTTTCTCAAGCGGAAGCGACGTGGCGGTTGTTCATACACTGATTGTAATTTGTTGGTCAACACGTTCCTCCTCTCATAATGATAGCCGTACTTCGCCTCGGATTTCCGCAACAGATTCGTATATATAGAGCAGTCGGGGCGGCCTCAGACAAACTCATTGCGGCTATGCCACGTCTTAAACGTTCACTGCAAATGTTGGTTGCTCTCCGCCAGCTAATGCATTATAAATTTGGGTATCCTAGCTATCTGTCAACTGTACAGCGCGCAATCGACGCATTTTTTCCATCTGAGGTGAATTATAGCATCATACACAGAGTACAAAGAACGCTACACCATAAACGTAGCAGGCACCCGTCCATGAATACGCGGGCATACTAGGCATAAGCCTCCAGAAATCGTCGGCAAGGGATTAAATTAGCATAACATAGTCTTGTTCCTCGCATTCAGGATGTCGTCCAGTATGATCGCGACGGCCCCTTTCTGGGAACCAAAATACATCCCAATACATGCAATCTAGAACACCCACCACCGCCCGCGTCTTCGGCCACGCTGTGGTTCCTTTATGCTCACCTCGTCATCGCCCATGCCAGGCGGTGCGCCGAGGCCAGCCACACTCGCAAAGCTCACGTATCCCGATGCTTGCTTACAAGCTTGTGATGCCGCGCGCAGATCAAATTGCGGTGGATTCATTGGTATATGGGGATTGGCGCTCGAGAAGCCCGAGAGAATCGCCGGGTTCGGTGAGTGCGGTGAGGGCGTAGCATATGGTGAAGAAGGCGACTTCTTTGTCGGAGTCGAGAATGGCGAAGGTGGGAGGGGCGTCGTCATCCACGGCGATATCTCTCCCTGCGATTGTGGTGATTTTTGCGAGTAAGGTACAGACGTCGTCTGCGAATACCTATGCTTCCGGCCGTTTTTTGATGAGATAGATGGTAGTATCAAAGGCTCTACAGCATGTGCAGTCACATGAGGTTTCTCAGATGATTGAGAATGTGTGTACGAATTAGAAAGCGAGCGCGCTGATGAGGGTGGAGATGCTGATGAAGACTACACAGGACGTTACATATCAGCATTTAATTCAGGGGTGCGTGTGTCATACATGGTAAGCGCTCACCTCCTCATCCGGCGACCTCTTTATTCGCCTTTCCTCTTCACGCATTCCATTCTGGAGCACGCGTTCCAGGCGTGATCTCAGGACAGCCTCATGAGGCGCTGCGTCACTTCCGATGACATAGGAGCGTGGTAATGATGTCGAAAGACACTCATCCAGTTTCTCTTGTTGGATAGGAGCAATAGGGTAGCCCTTGGCATCCAAGTCTGAGCTCGACCTGAGTAGCTGAGCATATGACGAGTCTTCGTTCTCGTTCGGAACGTAAAAACTTTTCGACTTGAAATTCTGGGTAGAAGCAGCACTATTCCTGCGCGACTCGGACGGTTGGAAAACCAGAACGGGTTGGAAGAAGTTGTCATCGTCACAGTCACTGCACGTTGACCGCGAGCGCGAACGTGCACGGGAGGTAGCGGTTGTACGAAGGGTATTGTCTTTCCTGAGGGTATCTCGCAGTAGACGCTCTGACCGTGATGAAGGTCTTGGCGGAGGCGAGTGAGGTCGCTGGGTACGCGAGGAGCTGCCCTGTTGCTGAGGGATACGAGGACTGGGAGCAATTATAGACATTGCGAGAGTGGGTTGTGAGTGGAAAGATGGAGTTAGTTTATTCGGTGTGCAAACGCGACCTCGTGGCGAATGTGTTCGAGACGATGGAAGAAGTTTCGTAGGTGTAGTTGAGTCACAAACTATCGAGGAAGTCGTTGCAAGCGAGCTAGGCGTTCCTGAGATCGTCGAGAGAGATTGAGAAGGGGAAAGAGATGATGGCTCCAACAAGCGAATGGGCATGGGAGAAGGAAGATATTAAGTATTGAAAAACGCTTTGGTACGCTTAAGTCTTATGGGTCTTGTGATTCACATAGACCGCCTCGCTGAAAACACGAGGATAACACGAAGTAAAAGAGTCCACAGGTCAATGCAGGAAATAAGGGGGAAACAAGCAGAAGATTCTTTGTAGGAGATTGCCTGGCATGTCTGTCCACACGATTCACGGCAATATCCTGCAACCCCAGAATTTCAACGGTGTTGAGATCCGATGTCATAGATGGTGACCTGCCTAATTTGTTTAATAATTTCATTTTTTTAAATTATTTTTAACCGCTAATTCCCGAGATTTTTGGTTATGCCGATAATTTACCTTTTCACATTCAACACGCGTTCTACGCTCAGTCCAAGCGACACACACATGTTGGTCTTTCCGTGGTAAACCATTCGTTTACTGTAGGATTAAGTCCGAAGGCAGTTGCATATTCTCTCTCTGCCGTGGCCACCGCATCACCACCGCACCGTGACTGTTCTCGGGCTGGAGCGCCACAGCAGCTGATCAATGAGTCACAGTTCTTATCCCTAGCCTGGAATTGGGATGCGTAAACTATTTTATTTCACGTTTTATAAGTTACTCCACGGGATCTTATTCATAATTTATCTCCGTTCGGCGGACGTTGCGACCTACGGAAACCTGTTAAGTGGTACTGCCGCGTCGTCATGAAGCTTAGTTATCATGCACTCCTCCGACAGTCAGCTCGTGTTATTCCCCATCGTCCGATGTTTCGCTAACGACCCTGCGCTGATTTAGTACTAGTCTCGGCTTCCCTTTGTCTCATCATTCGATCCGCAACCGGCACACGAGGCACTATAGTCTCGTTACTGTTAGATGGCCGCCGTACCTCCAACTTTTCCGTGCACTTTACGGGACGGCATGCTAGGTCCATTAATCCCGGTGAGAGTCTACCTGATCACGTCCCCCGCGTGCCTGGTGGATGTTAACGTTGATCCTTGATCGATATTCATCATGGCTCGTCAGTAATGCGATCATACTATCGTCACGCTTGTATCACCCCGCATTCACCATGCTTCTTGGAAGCTCATCATATACGTTAGAGTTTG